ATTTTTTCTTTGTTTTGTAAAAGTTGCTATTCATACATCATATTAAGCCATTACATTTTCTGTTGTTGATTTTATTTGTCTTTTATTTGCAATTTTACATATATTTTTTTGTATTAGAGGTTCATTGTGGGAGGTTATTATTTTATGTGCAGGTAGTATTATAATCAGATTTGTTTTTAATGGATTTTTTTTTAGCTTTTTATTCTATCTTATTATTATTTACAAATGTATATTTGGTATTTTTCTCTTTGTTCTTTAACTCTTTATGTATACATTTATTCATTTACTATTTTCTTAATCATGCAGGCATTTTTCCCAATAATTTTCAATATCATTACTGTATATATATATATATGTGTGTGTGTGTGTGTGTGTGTGTATATATGTTATACCCCTGTATATATACAGGGGTGTACTGTTAAATTTGTTACAAGCTTGTGCTTAGTACTGTACCAAGAATTACCAATACTTTTCTTTGTTGAATGTGTGAGGTGAGGTGTGCAACAACTCCCCGAGTACCATAATCATTTAATTTAGTTCTAAGACACACAGGATGCATTAGGTTGTAAATGATCAGCTGCCACAGATTAAATCTCTCGAATATAAAGTTAATATTTGCTGTGAATGCAAATAATAATCAGTCATCAAAGTTTTATAGTTGCGTAGTACATATTTTCCGATAAAATTATACACGTTTAGAAGGCATATTTAAGGTATCTTTTATCAAAGGTTATGAGAACACTGCTGTGAGAGAAGTAAAAAACTTTCTTTACCTGATCATGACTTTTTAGTGACATTTACACAACAAAGTCTGGATATTTCTTTCTTCTCCTTTGTCTTCACCTCCTCTGTACTGTACTGTACATATCTTTTCTTTGTTTTCTTCTTTCCGCTTTTCTGTGTTAATAATTGCTGAGAACGATCTTCATGCATTTCACACACATTCATCTCATATGCTGTGTTCTTGCTTCTAACTTTCTTGATGTTTTGGCTGTCACAGAATATAAGGAAAAGAATCTCTTAATAATTGGATGTAACTAATGATAATCTTTGAGATGTACATTGAAGCCAGTCCATCTTTTTCTCTTGATTAGGATTCTACTAATTTTGAATTATTGAACAGTTGTCACACTATAGTTATAGTACTGAACAATAGAAATCCTTGTACAGTAACATTATGAGCAGAGAGACTTGCCAAGATATTTTGAGTTTTTATATCTTCACAACTCTCTTGCACTCAGAATCACACACTTTTGACAAAGTTGGCATCAGAAGGAATTTCAGAATCATATACAGTATTGTACTGTACTTCTTGAAATAAGTGACATCCCAGCTAAAGCTGGTTGACCTTTTTAATGAATCATATATTTTTATCTTTGATTGGAAACTTCAAGTCTTTCATAGGCAACAATACATTAATGTTAATTACCAGTATATATACTGAATATGTATTGTCAAGTAAACTGAGCACACATTTCACTGGGCAGAAAAAAGAATTACGTCATCTGGTTCATGTTTTAAGGGAAATAGCCAATGCTGGGAAAAGGGGAATCCATTTACTTCCTTAATTATAGGGCTTTCACCTGTGACCAAGGTGCAACCTTCTGCTTTTTGTATTTATGGTTGATAATACACAAAAGCTAATGTAGGTTTTCATGTAATACGTGAAGATTTGCTCGTTAAGCCATCAAATTGCATCATGACATTCTTTAATGCAGAAGACTGTTGAAGTGATTTCATAGAGAAATAACTACTGTATACTGTATGTGAGAGTAATCAGTGTTATGATTAAATGTTGAGAAAAGTGGGTGTGTGCTATGAATATGTATGATCAATTAACTGTGCAGTATTTATGTGGCAATGCCTGATATAAGAGTAAGATCTAAATGATTGTGAACTAGGGCGGAATTGTGGTAATACAAAGTTGTTATGTCTTAATTGCAATAGACTCTTAATAAATATGATACAGATGATAATGAGAAATAGAGAAATTAGAGGTACTTTACAATTTTGGAAAAATAGGAAGTGTTCCATATCTTCAGTATGGTTTTCAATCTGTAAATTTCTTAAGTTTAGAAAAATAATAAGTGAGAAAATTTTTTCATGAGTAACCAATGAAATATACCTGTACTGGATGATGAAAAAATGCTAAAGTAAGGATTTTTTTTTTTAAACAGGGATTAGCCCACCCGGGCACAGGTCACTGACCCACATCGGGCCCTGGGGGGCGAAAATGTAATAATAATAATAATAATAATAATAATAATAATAATAATAATAATAATAAAAAGAAATACAAATATGAAAAAAGGATAAAAAGTGAGAAACAATATATGTATGTTGTGTTGTCAATGGTAAGAGAAACAATTGAGACTCTGCAATTGTGTGTAAATGAGGCAGAAAGTCAGATCAACAACCTGGGACTTGGTCACAATTTTCGTGATGCCATATGGCAGCAGGGTCTACCATTAGACAACACATTATGCTTCCAATATCTTCCCAGGCAACCTCCATGTTTGGTAGCTGCCTACTACCTACTACTTATATGAAGAGTAGAGACTATTTATAGGGTGATGGAAATTATTAGCTTATATATCTAAAGAAAAAAGAATGCAATATAAAGTACAGTACTGTATACTGTATAATAAGAATGATACAGCCCTGTATATTGATGAAGACATATGACAATGCAGTTTAAATTATTGTACGTACAGTATTATATAAGGGACAGAAGTAACCTGCTTCAGATCCATAATTTTCTCATTAAGATTTTTTATGCTAAAGATTTCACTTGCAGAATGTACTGTATGCAAGATTATGCTGTGATGTTTTATGCCTGACACTGAAAATAGGTATTGAGCCTTTTTTCTGTATGGTGCTCCAAGAAAATCTTTGAAATAGTTCAGTGCTGAATTGGCTACTCATATCTAACTCAATTATTAATCAAACTGCTCAAGAGGATATAAGACTTGTATTAGCTTAGCATCTATCAGGTACTGTACCATGTACAGTATAGTGTATATTACCATTTTCTATACACTATATTGATTATTTTAATTTTAACGATACCTGCAGAAAGCTTTGATATAAAAATCTCTTGATCATCATACATATTTTCTCATGCACTCACAGTAAGGTGGAATAGAGTGTTGTCCCTTCTAAGGTCACAGATACAAGAACAAGATTGATATTTTTGTTGAAGAATAAAATAATACCTGCTGGTTAGGTTGTGCTAAAAGATTGGAAATTTGTTAGATTGAGAAATACCCCAGCAAGGAAATAAGTATACTGTAAAGACTAAGGAAAGATAGTACAGTATGGTATAAAAAAAAAAAATTATGTAATAAATGGGAAAGTGTAACGTTTTTATGAGTAGTGTTAGGTATGAATGTACTGTGTGTGTGTATAGCAGGTCATTTGGTGGTGTAAAACATTTTGTTCATCCAGAAAATGGATCCATCAATGAAAGAAATGATTAACACTAACTCTTATCATTGTAGTACTTCCATAGGCAACCAAGGCCAATTAATTCATCATTTAATTAATTAGTCATGTTTCTGTTGTAGTCAATGAAATAAATTGAATACTAGGGAATAGATTGCATTTAATCTATAGTAATAAACTTGAATATGCATTAATTCTTAAATGAGCAGCTTTTGGCTTGTACACATCACATACATTCCTTATAGTTCTTGCAATAAACAAATTTCATTAGCTTAAGTGTAATATACTTTATGTGAGTCTCTTCATGTCATCATATTAGATGAACAAATATTACAAAGTTTGTGGGAGGACTTTTTGTTGTATTCATCACCTACTGCTGAAGGTACAGTATTTGATTTAGATGAAGATTAAGGCGGAGAGATGGAAAGATGGTGGAGTTGTTGCATAGGGTAGGTGTAAGTTTATGGGGTGGGAGTCACATGTCATAGATGGGGTGTAGCGGCGGCGTTGTGTCTGTGTTGTGAAGACCTCCTTGTGACGCCGGGTTCCCATGCAGACGCTGCGGCAGAGAAGAAATGTGCTGTTTGAGGAGACAACATTACACGTGGTCATCTCGGGGCTCCACCTTCGATGCTAGCTCTGCCCACTCCTCAGCTAAATACTCAACCATTCCATTACCATGGGACCAACAACCATCCTAACTACAACTACTATCATGATAACATCTATGACCTGGAGACATCATTTGTGGATGACCTTGCCTTTAGGCCTGGTGGCCTAAGCTCAACGCTGATGCTTCTGAAATTGATGTCGCACAACTGCAAAACTCAGAGCAACGCCTGTTACTGGTCCTCCTCAGGTGATCCCCGAAGTGTTATCAGACGTGTCCCAATAACCGCATGTGTGTGTATGCTTTTGCTGCCCCGTGTGTACGCTAATCTCCGTTGCATCATGGTGTGTGCGTGGCTTGCAAATGTTACAACCATTAATACATACATAATATTGGCCTCAAGCCAAATCATAAGTAAGTAAAATGTATCTAAGTGTTATGTTAGCAAGTGGTCAAGAACCATGCATAAGGTGGGCTCTGCCGGTAACACTTGTGTGATGGTCGGTAGGCACTCAAACTGCCCAGAATGACCTTGGAGACTTGTGTTTTACGAGGATCCTTGGCCAAACATGTGACCTTGAGCAGTTTGTCATTTGCCAGAGACAGCCTCACACTTAAGCAAGTTAAAGATAATGGCATAAAGCATTTATGTATCTAGATGCATCATGTATGTATGTATGAAAATAAAATACTGTATATGTACTCTTCAATATACTCTTCAGTTGATATAATGCACTTACAGGATATGTTAGTAAATTCCTCAGCTATGTACTGTAATTATACTATGGGGAGGGCGGGAGCTGTATTTTATGACTGTGGTAAGCATTTCACTAATATTCTGAATATTTCTTATACCAGTTTATGTCTTGAGTATTGTCACTGAATTATCATTACAGTAGTTATCATTGATTCTTCTTTAGACTAATGTGTTTTGACCCCCTCTCAGGTGCCGGATGTGACGATGATCGGAGGCAGTGTAGCGGGAAGTCATGGCATAGACGAATTTCGTGTTGTAACAAAGGCATCAGGGGGATTAGAAGAATCTGGACCGGCAGTAGCTTGTTTGGCTATGGAAACTACAGGTGTACTGCAGGTTGACTTGGGAGGACAAGTTACTAGCCTTCCACGTGCCTGGTCCAACCCACAACTATCTAGTCACATTCGTCCTGGGCTGGAACCTCCATTGGTACACACTACTACTGTCACTGATGCTGTCTATGAATTAGATGTTGCTCGTGGTATTTGTGTCAAGACTTCTAGAGAAGGCTCTCCCCTCACCCCGGAGCGTCGGCAAAGCATGCCAGATATTGGGTTAGTTTTCATTGATTTATGTACTTTTCATTCTTCATTAGGTTTTTAGAATATTAAGTACAGTAACATTTTTGAGGACATATAAGTTTGTATGATTGGGATCTTATACTGTACAGTGAATACTGCCGAGTCTGCATATAGTGTATTATTTGGCATTTGGGTGACTGTGAGAGTGTTATTGAGTGTGTGACTTACTCACACACTAGATGGGACCATGGGACTTAAAAGAAGTGTAATAAAATAAAAAGGCTTGATTTAAGGTGTGGTACTGTATGGGTGAAAAACAAAAGGAATTAAACATTAATTTACTATAAAACAACTACTCTGTACAACATACATGTATATAATGTAAATTTCTATGTACGCAAACAAGTAATTTTTATCCAACAATGAGACCTAAACTACCGCTTGGTTCATTCATTAGTTGGAGCTATTGTATTTGCACACATAGGAATCTTAGTTTACAGACTGATGTATTGTATCCGGTCTTCTCACTCTTGAACGTCATTAGTAACTGCCGAATTGATTAACATTTGTTGGCATGACACTGGGTGTATATTGTGTACACAACACGATGAGAGACAGCTCCCAGCCAGGCCACAACATCAGCCTCCAGGACATCCACCTCTGCACACTAATTAACTCTTTAGTAATGTTGCCCTTATACGATTATTGAGGGCGACCCATGCTACCTCAGCCGCAGCTGCTGTGTGACTCATCCCAACAACACTCTCAACTAAACTCAGGGACCAGTTCGAACCTAACCCGAAACACTAACTAAACCCAAATGAATCACCACCAAACCAACGAAGCATCAAAATTGCTACTCGTCTTGACAGTGACAATGTGGTTAATTTCCTGATTTACAAAATGATACCCCAAAATTTACTTAACCCCCTCAAATAATTTATATTTTCACTTTGTTTATAAATTTTCATCTTTTTTAATGATTTTATCATAACAATCATTAGATATATGTGAACAGAAGTTTTAGACCAAAATGGAAGTTATTTCTATGCAAAGATTACCCAAAATGATGTATCCAAACATTGGATGTTTACTTTAGGCAGATGTAACTTAAGCAATACTCTGCTAAGCTTTCACCCATTTTCACTGTGCAACAAAATGACAAACTATATATTGTACAGTATTATGCAAGGTACAGTACAATGTTTAACTGAAGCTTGAATACTTTTGTATCTGGTGATGTTATGATTTCCCTGCCCAAAAAATACTTTAAACTACTTTACCGGTATCCCTCGCTATACAGACGTTAGAGATACAAAAATTTGCTTATATTAATTTCCTAAATTACCACATCTTTTTCGTGTTATGAAAGTTTCCCCCTCTTATACGAATTTGGGTTCCGGCAAAAATTCAAATCGCTCGCACCCAGGAGTCAGCTGGTTTGGTCACTCCACCCCCAGTGCTCTCCTACCAGGCTGAGGTAGGAGTTATGTTATGGTTATTTTTCAGTTCGATAAACTTAACTTTCTTCACTTTTTTTTTTACTTAGTTACATGCATATACAATCCTACATACTTACAGTAATGTGCAAAAAAGGTAAAAGAAATAACTATCGTAAGGTCAAAAACATAAAGGGAATAAACATTTCGATGTGTGTGAGAGCAGGAGGTGAGCATTGCTAAGGGTCGGCAGAGGTGGTGTCCCCAACTGGGCTTGGTTGCTATGGTGAGGCAAGGCTTGAGGGCAGCCATTGTCTATGCAAATGGCAGTTGTGTTAAACTTTCATTTAGCTTTTCCTTTATGGTTTTAGCTGTATATTAGAGTTTTCTTGTCATTGGGGAACCAAACCCTATTTTTCCTCCCATGTTCTTTTATTCACCATACAAAAATTCACTTAACAAATCGTCTCTCAGGAACCTAACCCCTTTGTACAGCAAGGGATACCTATATTGTGTATTTCATATATTTTTTCCAGTACATTTTATCTCTTGCTGCAGAAGGGATAGGTTTAGCATGCCTTGTGTACCTTTTTTCTTTTGAATTAATTCTATTCAATGGGTTCCAAATTGGTATACTGTATTCTAGTGCTAATGCCTATTATTTCTGTAAGTTTGGAAAACTATACATTACTAATCATAAACTGAGTGGATTTATATTTATGCATACTGTACAGTATTTCATCTTGATACTGTATTTAGGAACTTTATTGCCAATTGCTATTTATTACATAAATATGTATACAGTATTAATTTCAAATCCTTTCTTTACTTGAAAAGGTTTTGACATTTCAATATGCTGCCACTTAGGTAAAAAATATTGAAAATATGTTTCAGTGAATTGAAAACACTGATGTGTTAGAAGATTTAGTTTATAAGCACTGTACAGTCACTCTCCGAGTTACAACCGTACGAGTTACGATCATCCGCATTTACGATCATCGCCCTATTAAATTCTTTAAAGAAATAAAAAGGACTTACGACCGTTTGTAATACAATGTACTGTACTTACAAACTACCGGTAAGTGTGGAGCACTCTACTTTGTTGGGCACACTGCTTCAGCTCCCCACTGAGCCAGCTAACTCGTGTTCAAAGAAATGTACAGTATACGTATTCCCTTTATGTGTTTGCCCTTATGACAATTATTTATTTTAATTTTCTTTTCATAATATGTATGTAGGATGGTGTGCGCATGTAACTGAGTAAAAATAAATGAAGAAAGTTATGTATATCCCCCCGAAAATCTGAGTTCAAAAACAACGATAACACCTCACTAAATTGAGAGTTTGTTATATCGGATTCTGTTAAATTGAGACAGTATACTGAAATACTGTACATTACATAACATTTTAAAATATGGAGTGAGAAAGGAAAAAGATGGGGGTAATTAGAGAGATGGAGTAGAGAGTAATGTTGCAAAGTGCTCCTCAACAGCTGATCTTTAACTCGCAACCACAGAGTTATGAACAGTTTGACTTACGATCAGGGTCCAGGAACGTATCCCCGTCGTAAGTCGGGGAGTGCTTGTATGTATTTATTACCATATGATGCATTACAATTAACAATTGAAATTAAGCTAAATATTCGGTTTTACGAAATTTAAATTTGGTCTATAGTGCAAGCAGTATCAGTTAGATGTTTTGCATATTCCCGTATAGTATACACTAAATTAGGTCTCTCTAATTTTGAGAATTGCCTTTTAGGAGAATGTCTCACTACATAATGGAAAATTATATTAGCAGATATAATGTAGAAAAATATTTTATATTAATTGGTTTTTCATAATTGACAACACTACTTTGGCTGAAATCACACCACTGTTAATTGAAACTCTCGCTTTTATCATATTAAGTAAACAAACATTTTCACCATTCGTTGTTTTTTCCCACTTTGTATCATTACTGTAATCTTCTCCTGTACTCTACCTGTTAAGCTGTTGCCTTTAACAGTGGGTGTGTTTAACACTCCTTTATCACTATAGTTGTGAAATAATTAAATACAAGTAAAGCACAGTACAGAACAGTACGTACAGTACAGTACAGTACAGTACAGTACAGTACAGTACAGTACAGTACAGTACAGTACAATACAGTACAGTACAGTACAATACAGTACAATACAGTACAGTACAGTACAGTACAGCACAATACAGTACAGTACAGTACAATACAGTACAATACAGTACAGTACAATACAGTACAATACAGCACAATACAGTACAGTACAGTACAGTACAATACAGTACAATAAAGTACAATACAGTACAGTACTCCTTTTAAGATTTGTTGTAATACCAGTGCCGGATCCAATAAAATTTGACCGATGCAATCTTTCAGTTTTTGTAGTTGCAGCTAGCCCAGATTTCAAAACGTCTCTGGAATTGGCCCATCGTATTTTTGAAATAAGGTTTGAGCCTCCTCAGTGTTGAGACAGAGCTCTCAGACTTGTCGGTTGTGATGGGCACAACAGCTAGCACTTTCATGGCAGCCATCACATTAGGGAAGAGGATGGGGTAGACACTCTGGAGAGTGTCAGATGTCACTTGGTATATCATGACCAGCAGCCTGATTTTTCTGCCAGTGATACTGCCAGACAGTCAACTCTCCCGACAGGTCACCTTACAGAGGTTTACACTCACATCACCTGAACTCCATCTGGGAGGCCCCCTTGAGGCATGACCGCGCCCAGTGGTGGTCACCTTTGATAATGTCAGGTAGCACATTTGCCGATTTAGGCTAAATCGCCCTCGGATGTAAGTAAACCATACATACCGTATCTTTTCTCTTCAGTAAGCCAGGATCTCGATATAAATATTGCTTTCAGATATTCTTCCACTCTTAAATCTATGCTGGTAATAAATAAAACTATCAGTGATTGTACAAAAGGTCTGTATTGAATTCCATGTAAGGAATTATGGCGGTGAATGTGTTAGTTGCAAGGCCCGAATAACCATAAGGCTGTAGCCTTAGGCCCTCATGATATTTAGGCCCTCGGGTTTACCGTAGGTGTTAATTTGTGTTTCTTAAAATTAAATTTTTGTCACAAGTTCACAACTTCACAAGGTGGTTAATTTGTTCAGTAAATTCCTTTTGCTATGTTTAGTAAGGTTCTACAGTTATTAAATATATATAATATACAGTAATACATATATGTACCCCTCCCTGTTATCAGCCTTAGGCCCCTCACAACCTTAATCCAGCCCTGGTTACCTGACATTGTCAAAGGTGACTGCCACATGATGCCATAAGGGGGTATCCCAGCTGGAGTTCAGGTGATGTGAGTGTAACCTTACCTGTGACCTTATCCCAGGTTTGTCAAACCTGCCACTCAGGTACAGAAAATGACAGCTACAATCAAAAGCTGAATGGCATGCATGTCAACACTGAAAATGAGATCACATTACCAATAGGTCAATTATTTGACCGATGCATATGATACTTTTGCATTATTCATAATTTTCTGATCGATGCAAGTGCATCGGTTCCATTGGCCTGGATCCGGCCCTGAATACTACAGTATATCACACCTATTAGATTTAATGTTTTAAAATTGATATCTGATTATTAAATCTGTTCAATAGTCTTCCCTAAATTTTTCTCTTTCTGTTGCATTAATTTTTCACATGAACTTGATATGTTTATTTTTACAGTGTTTGTGAGCCAGAAGAAGGTGTAGAGGATGATGCTGTGGTAGGTGGCAAAATTGAATTCCGTGTACTTGATAAGGACAGAAAATTTTCTGAACCTGCTGGCCCCACCACTATAGTAACTAGCCAGACTCGGGTGTCTCGCCAAGAACTCTCTAGTGTAGTGCCTGCACCAGCTGCATTTAATGTTGGGGCTGAGAACCCACCACTACCACCACCACCATCCATGTTAGACCTGCCTCCTGGAACTACAAATAAATCTGCTTCCCTCCAATCTAGCCCAATTACACATCCTGAAGAACGTTCTGTCTATTACGATGCTCCGCCTCCAGAAGATCTGTCACAGCAACCTGGTCAGAAGACTCATAGTAAGAGTGGTTCACCTAGAAATGAACAAGAGGATGATGGTCATAAAAACAGTGAAACTTCAGACACACCACTCAAAGACAAGGGTGAGGGGCGAAGTGGTAAAAAAGACGATACTCGACGGCGACTAGGAGTTGTAGCTTTACCAGTAGTCATGGAAGATAATAAAGACCGTGATGCTGAATCTACTCGCTACGAATCTGCAGCCCATCCACCCGATACCAGCCGTTATGAATCTGCCGTACACGATCACACTGTAGTCACAACAGTTCAGGAGACCTCACGATATGAGACTGTTATGGGTGCTCCACTGCCAGAGTCATCGCGCTATGAAACTGTTATGGGTCAACGAGAGACTGAAGGAAGAACACGACAAGATACAATTTGTGATGAAGAAAAGTCTCTGTTGTCTGAGCGAAGAAAGTCTCTAGAATTTGTTTTAGAAGAAAAGATTGAAAGTGATGATGCTAGAAAGATATCTGTTATCAATTTACATGATTTGTCTGCAGCCTTCCAAGTATCAACAATGATTAACAGGTCACGGACAGTGACACCATCAGTATCGCCGAGAGGGACACCACCACACAGTGAAAGTGGTGGCCGTCGTAGTCGATCATCCCGTCATCGCCGCTCCTGTGAGGATCTGTTAGAAGAGGGTTCTGAGGAGTCTTCCAAAACTAATACACCCCGGCCAACTGACCTACAGCCAAGATCTTCCCTGTCACCTGATCGGCAACGGGGAAATGGTTCAAGGAGATCACCTGCTGCACAGGATGATTCTTCTCAAAAAAGTCGCATTCCTGTGCCTATGTGGGCTCGCACTGCCAAAGATGGAGAGCCTGAAGGCAGCCTTAATACACCATCAGGCGGTAGAAGTCCACGGTATACAGAAGCAGAACGTGCTGAGGCGGCTCGTAGAATTTCTGTGGCCTTAGCAGAAAAGGTTACATCACCAGGTAATGAAGAAGATTCATTAAGCACACGTAGTGGTGTGTCAGAGCATCGATCGGGCCGTGAACGTGGGTCAGTAGCTTCCTGTGAATATCAGCATTCTGCCAGCCAAGAAGACCATAGTGAGGATCTTGCTGACCTTACACCAGCACTGCGTAGACGGCGACAAGGTGTAGACAAATATGTCACTGATGAGACACAGCTCAACCTTCGATTCCAGCGACGTCGCACTCGACCAATGTCTGACGTGAACCCACCGCCACCTGCTCTCTTGCAGTCCAGGAACCGTCAGAGGTAAGAGATATTTTGATAGTTTTTGTATTGTGAATTTGTATCACTGATGATCTAACCAATGGTCTTCCTGATTGTTTTTAAGAATTTTTTCATATTTATACATGAGCTTATCTCATCAGATCAGTAAGTGAATAAATGCTGCACCTTTCTTTACTACCATTGAAACCACCAATTTTATAATAACAGCACTGTTTAGTATTCCTTTTATCATTTTGAAATCACATTACTGTCCTGTACTGTATTAAGAAATTTATATTTGCTGAACATCAAGTACTGTACTGTAGCCCACTTTCCTCTAACCAGCCAATAACATAAGTACTGTACAACATTTGCCTTTCAAGAAATACTACTAACTCACAGGAATCACAAGAAAGGAAACAATATTTGGATGAGTAAAATTGCCTAGTTGAAACTGACCTTTTCATTGCATATGACCAGTATTTGTGACAGCGTTTTTTATTCCGTACACTGCAGGTGTGACATATATAGGTCAGGTACTTTAGAAATTACTGCACTTGCTCTTATGAACAGCAGGGGTTATAAATCTCTTCTGTTGGCACCACTTGATTTTGCTATTGAATGTGGGATATTCTTTTGAATCTGGTAGTCAGTGTTCATCACGATGTCATGAAAGAGAGTACAGTACAACAACTGCACACTTTCAGGGTAACCAACCAAAAAGAGAATTTTCTTTGTCTATGTATTGGATGTAATTAATTCTGATAACTTAGAAGACAGTGATGATGAACCTAGTGTGTGTGATATGCTGGATAATGTAAAAGAAACAGTTGATGAAGAACAAACAAAATACACTGTAATGTATTTATATTCTTGTGATAATGAACCTGGCCCAGTAATTGTAGGTAACATTGAAGAGTGTAATAAATGTGAATCTGTAAATCAAGTCACTTCACACCACATCCATACACATTTGATTCAACAAACTCAGGTCTAACTTATGCATGTTTGGTAATAGCTGCCTCAGAGGGACTGATACCTGTAGATGATATGTGGGAGAATTCAAAGATAAACTTACTCCTTTCAAAGACCTCTGTAATTATGAAAAGCTAATGGTATGAAGAGTGCTGCATAGGGAGATGATTAATTTTTTGGGCTCCCACAGTGAAAGGGGTAAGTGTTATTGATATGTGCTTAAAATGCTAAAATCTTGGGAGAAATGGAACATTGCTAACAAAAGATTAATTAATTATTGAGTACAGTATATAGAAATAATATTACAATGGTGGTCCTTGTTGAACTTTATATACTGTAGATCAGGGGTTCTCAAAAAAGTTTTCAACCAAGGACCCCTTATATACCATGACGCATACAAATATTGTCAATAATCAAAGAATAAATCATAGTCCAAAGCATTTGTTCATTTCAACCCAAATCCAAAATATCCTGTGAATTGGAATCGCCAAATCTCTCACAAACGTTAAACTCACTATTTCTCAAAAACTTTTCGCAGACCCCTGGGGGTCCATGGACACCAGTTTGAGAATCACTGCTGTAGATGAACAAATGAAATGTAATGTTTTTTCCCTGTTTTATCTTCAGTAGACAACGAGTGTCCATGATAGAAGCAGGAACAGGTGGTCGTTACTACGACAGTGGACGAGGTGTGCCTTCCTACCTCCTCAAGCCTCAGCATGAAGATTCTAGTGAGTCAGAAAGCTCACACCCACGAAAACCACGTCCTCCCTCCTCAGAACCTCCATCTGCAGCCAGAGATGTTGCTGCCAGGTAAATTTTCCACTCTGTCTTTATTATTTTGCCTTCTGTGTACAGTACAGTATTTTTATCAGATTACCCTGTATGTACTGTATACTGTTTCAGGGATTCATAGTTTAATGTTCTAAACAAAATTCCTTGACTCAGACACAATCTTATTTTTCTCATTAATCTGTTAAACATCTTTGGCTTCCCTTTTTGTTCACATTGAGTCTACAATTTAAAAAATAAAAAATAAATATTGTCACATATGATCTCTCCACATCATTCCTAAATGCTACAACTACCTGATCACAGATCTTTAGTCCACAGCACCAATACAGAAAGTCACTGTCTCTCACAAAGGATATAATTTCTAGCTCCCACTTTAATTCATTAATACACTGCTGTACTGTACCCCTATTATACCAGACACCTGTGTCAGTATCCTTGGTTCTATTGTAAATTGTAATTTCTCCAGGAATTACCATATTTCCAATATTAACAAGAATACACCTGTACACCCTTAAAAACTTGGCTTTCTCCTTAGTGGGCTTATCCATATTTTACATCTGCACATTTTACTCTTTATAATAGCCAATTGTGTCGACTCACAATGTTTCTCTCATTTATGGAATGGCACTCTATAGTCCTACTTATCACTGTCAGACAAATTATCAACATCATCACGCTTTTACGGCCATTTTCCATGCTTAAGTTTATTAGCAATCTAAAGCTCTCCTCACACTCTCCTTTCTACTGTTATTTCCTTGGTCATTGCACCAATGAAATGCAAATCATCAACCCCCTTCATTTCAGTCCATCACAACATACACTAATCCCCCACTAATTCTATATCGTTGGGGCTCTGGACCAATAAAATTAGCCCGAAATGTCAAAGTATCCCATCAAGTCAAAATTATAACACAATTCTGCACTTTTGCCTCAAGTAGTACAGTATTACAGTTTGAGAACAATTTGTGATTTTTATGGGATGTGTGTTTTGATGTTTGATACTGTACTGGGAAGCTGAGCATGACCACAGTCTTCAGTATAATGCCACCAGAAGGCTTCTTACAGTACTGGGGTTCTTAGGGGTTTTTGAAAGCCATGATTAAGAAAAACTGGATGGGATTTATATCAAATGGTCCCCAGTGAATGGAAAGTGGCTTATGTGAGTCCTATCTTCAAGAAGGGCAATCGGCACTCCACGAACAATTGTAGACCGGTGAGCCTGACCAGCATAATATGTAAAGTACTTGAGAGTATTATCAGAGATGCCGCAATGGAACATCTAATACGAAATAATCTTGTAAAGGATTGCCAACACGGTTTTATGCCAGGGTGCTCCTGCTTAACACAATTGCTCAAGGTATTGGATATCTGGACCCATTTTCTGGAACGGGGTGGTAATATTAACAATATTTACCTAGATTTTGCCAAGGCTTTCGACAGCGTACCCCATGAAAGGCTGAAAATCAAACTGGAAGGGTACGGAATTCGGGGAAATGTCCTAGCATGGATGGAAGACTTTCTACATGGCCGCAAGCAGTGTGTGGTGATTAATGGCACGAAATCGTCATCCGTACCTGTCACAAGTGGGGTACCACAGGGCAGTGTATTGGGCCCGCTGCTGTTTGTTTGTTTCATAAATGACATACCTGACGTTGTACACTCCTCCATACAAATGTTTGTCTATGATGCCAAGTTATATCGGGAAATTAAGAACCAAGCTGACTGTGAAGAGCTGCAGAAGGACCTCTGTGGGCTCCAGGAATGGTCGAAGGAACGGCTGCTGAGATTCAATGTCACGAAGTGTAAGAGGATGCACCTGGGGCATACCAACGGTAAGGAGGCGTAACATATGTCCCAACGGGATGAAGAAACTGCACTAGTTGAGACTGTATGTGAGGACCTAGGTGTGTATGTTGACAATGAGCTGTAGTTCTCGGGCCATTGCGAGAAGAAGGTAATTCAGGCAAATAAATTATTGGGTCTTGTAAGAAGGTCGTTCCGATATCGAGACGGTCCGCCCCTCGTAACGATCTTCAGGAGTTAAGTGCTTCCCCATCTGGAGTAATGTCACCCCATCTAGTCCCAGAGATATGCTAGGGACTGTCAGTTGGTTGAAAATGTTCAAAGGAGGGCCACCAGACTGGTGCCGGCACTTCGGCACCTCAGCTACCCTTAGAGATTGGAGAGCCTGAACTTGCCTAGCTTATACTACAGACGGGCAAGGGGGGACCTAGTTGAGGTGTATAAGCATCTCAGAGGGCACTATTCAGTTGAGTGTCCTTACTTGGAGCTGGCGGACGCTCGCCCCACAAGGGGTCACAGCTCACGATTGAAGAAGCCGCAAGTCCAGAAAACTGTGAGGGCAAACTTTTTCGGAGTGAGGGTTGTAAACTCTTGGAACAATCTACCAGAGAGTGTTGTGACGGCACCGAGTGTGAGCTCTTTCAAGACAAGACTTGACCAACACTGGAGCAGGTTCAGGTACATTCAGGAGCCGGTGCATGCCCAGTATTTGCCAACAGTGCGTAACAGAGACGTGACCGATCGCCCGGGCGGCTAGCGAGCCGATCTTTTGGTGAAAAAGATAAATGAAAAGGAAAAGTAATCAAAGACGTGACCAATCGCCCAAGCGGCTAACAAGCCGATCAGTGGCGAAGAGGATAAAAGTAAAAAAGTAAACTAAATGACATGTATATGGTGCTGCTACTGCTGTTGTGTGGGTGCCTGACTGCTTTATCCTGAAGTATACATTGTGTAATGTGCACACACTTTATTGGTAATACTGTATAATAATATTGTACAGTAATGATTATCATATATATTATGATAATAAAGATGATGGAATAACTTTTCAACAAAATCAAAGTTCGTGTCCCTCTTTTAATGATGGGGTTGCATTCCTGAAAACTTAACCCTTAAGCCCCGGGTTAGGGTGCTGCTGGTAGTAACACCCCCACCATGCGGGGATAAATTGAAAACAAAAATCAACTTTTCCAAAAATAATAATGAAAAAAAAAAGTGGCAGGAAAATAGGCGGATATTCTGGAACGTCACCCGGGGCGCGCTACTCAGACGTTCTGGTGCGTCACCCGGGGCCTAAGGGTTAAGCGAAATTATCGCTAAACAAAGGATAACAGCAAAGCACTGAGTACAGTACTGTACTCCCTAATAATAATAATAATAAATGAGTGCATTATATATGGTTTTGAAGTTGAACAATTGATTTATTAAGACCAAACTTCTATATATACGATGTGCTTCAGAGTTAAATGATTTAGTGAGCAAAAGGTGAGCGTAATTCGAACAAATTTCAAATTGCATAAGTCAAAAATGAAAACAAAATTTCTATGATAAACAATAAAATTGATACATAGCGTATCATGAGATACAATAGCAAATATTTTACGTACAAAAATAAAAAAATAGCTCCTTCCGCACTTAAACCATCGTCTGGGCGATGAGACACAATTCAGCTGGGCAGTCACCCAGCTGACTCCGAGATGTGTGTGAGTGTGTACAGTATGCCGTGATGTCACATCGGGGGAGGGCGCGTGGGTGGGTGGCGAGTCAGTGATGCAGTTACAGCCAACTTCCTCCACATATGCGTTCACTTCACACATAAATACTCACTCATGCTTTTCATTTTCCTTATTTTATAATTTTATAATGTATTATATTTTCTTTATTTCTAACCCACATAAGAGTATTGTAATGATTTTTCCACAATTCTTATAATTACATTACATGTAACAATTGCAACATGACACCTCACAGGCCACTTCATCTCCAGTTTTTTCCCTTCCCAGTGAGCCAATCTATCTCTAAACTGAATTTTGACTTGACTTTAAGTAAGAAAGGGAGTAGAAATATTTTTATCACTAAACTGAATTAACGTTAAGTGAATTAACGCTAAGCGAGGGATACCTTTTTCATGGGCACTGACTGTCTTTCTTTACCCTGGGTTTGATATGTTTCTTTTTTCTTTCTTTTTTCCAAGCATACTGTACTCTTTTTAAATTTAATTTTGTGTGCACCGGTGAATGTATTTAATTTTGTTTTCACTTTTGAACTTTAAAAGAACTGGTAAGTACTGTATACAAGATAAGTGTTTTTTGTTTTTTTCTCACAAAACTGCATCTCCCATTATATAATGGAAGTCACGTGGTTATTTCAAGATTTTCTTGGACTACGTAATTTTATTTTCTTCAGACAATCTTCTTGAAAATTCTACATTGACAAAATATTGGATTACCGGTAACCTGAAATTATGATTTTTGAATACTGTATTGAATTGGTGAGGTTTCAGTGTCCTTTTTTATTATCATGCCACCCCAACTCTGTAAGTTCCCTTAAGTTGATCTTCTTTATCATTTAATTTAAATTGTTCCATTTCTCAGTTGTGGAATTCCCTTCTCTCTCACATCTTTCCATTTACTTGAAGCCTACAGCTCTTTTAACACAACTAAACTTATACAGTGCATATATGCATTATTATTATTATTATTATTATTATTATTATTATTATTATTATTATTATTATTATTATTGTTATTACACTGTATTATTTTTATTATTATTATTATCTATGATGTACAGTACAGTACTTGGGGACCCTGGCTTGAATATACAGTGGAGTCTGTATTTACGTGGTCAATTGAACCTGTGGAGGCCCGCGTAAAACGAGAAACGCGTAAATGAAATAACAGAACATATGGGATTAATTGAAATAGAGACTGGGCCGACCCCCAAACTCCACTTTTTCCGAATCAATTCGTACCTTGTAGTCAAAATAACATCTTAATTTTATGATGGTATGCACACACAATTAATAATTAAGAGAAATATCAATAATATTAGGTTTTTAACACTTTCGTTAGTAGAAAAGATGGCTGGGCACACGGGGATGGGAGGTTGGTTCCGAGGCAGAGGGCAGATTATTGGCCCTCACCTGTATCACTTGTATCAATTGTATCACTATCCACCACAGAGGCTTGCAAGGCCTCTTTGTCAAACACCTCAAAGTCCACATCCTCACTATCACTGACTTGGGCTGGCTGTGGTGGGTGGAGGGTGAAGAATGCGGTAATGTTTTGATGACTGGGCGAGCTTGTGCGTACCCTGCCCGCGCCGCTTCCATCGTAAATGACCAAATTTACTGCGTAATTAAAGCATTTAATTCTGGCAAGGCACCGCGTAAATGACCAAACGCGTAAACAAAAGCCGCTTAAATACAGACTCTACTGTATGTCACCTTGTTAGCAACACTGGTCTTTAGAGGGCATAATGTCATAGTCCTTCAAATTAATTTCTTCTCAGTTACAGTACTGCACTGTTGCCTGATTTCACAAAACCAGACTTGAAATTTCATTGTACAGTACACCCTCAAGAATTCAGAATGCTTGAGACTGAACCCTTTATGGATCTCTGATTTTTCTGAATAAAAACTAAACATATACAATATATATTTATATATACAATACAGTACTGTACAACACAAAAAAAACAAATGTAAAGTAATGACAATACACTACAGTTGTCTGCATCCAACTGGTTACTTAAAAGAAGGATAATTTTGCACTCCAACCTTAAAGCAGTGTGCATGAGTTTTTCAGGTACAAAATTATGAGTAAACTAGTCAATGTTATTTTCTGGGTTATTGATACTCATTACTAGTCTTAAGAAGCATGGATATAATTTTCATGCCCTTCAGAGTACGGTACAGTACAGTATAAGGCTCAGAACTCTTCCTTATCACAAATAGTTTACATGCTGTACAGTATAAGCATTCCAGCATTTCCATACATTAGAACAGTAAGCATTTTCTTAAGACTCTTTGACGCCATACAACACCTTCTCCACCGCACCAGGTACCAGGGTATGAGGAAAACACCTTGGAAAAACACTAGTCTTGTTTGTATCCTTAAATTTATCCTTTACTGTCAGGAGATATTTTTCACCATTAGCCTTTAATTAATAAAAGGCATGAAAGTGTTGAGGCTATTAACTCCTCCAACCCACTTCGAAACTCTTCCTTTTTCTGAATTTCTTGGTGTACTGTACAGGATATGTTTTAAAAATAGATAGTGTTTAATATTATATGTAATTAACTATCACACTTAAGAAATAGGGAGACATGGCCACTACGTACATCAAGTCCATCATGTCAAAACATTCTAAGTCAGTTTGTCATGTGTCTAAGTAACAGTGAATGAGTTTTTCATGTGTCTAAGTAACAGTGAATCTGTTATTCATGTGTCTAATTACAATAACAGAAACATATCTTTGTGCTTGTGTGTGTTGCATTTTTCTGCTCCACCTAACATTAGTAGTTCAAGCTGGTACAAAAAGTACTGAAAATATTTCAGTGAAAATTATGATGCATAGCCTAGTCATGGTGGTCATCAGGTAACCAAACACGATTGTTAGATCATGATAAACCCTCACTCACTGGCTCTGTTGGGTTAATCTGTTCCTCATAAGACTACATCAACTTTGGTTATTCATAGACTCAATCTTAGAAAATAATTATTTATTTGACTTAATAACCCAAATTTTATTATTGTCTGAGTAACTTGAGAATTTTATGAGTTTATGCAATACAAGCTTACAGTATTTTAACCTTTTTTTAATTTATTTTTTTTTATATAATTTTCAAAATAGTTCTCCATTCATAGATTTCCACTGAATTAAGTGACTAAAATTGAGTATAGATTCTTAATGAGGTGGTATATTATAAAAGCACAGAGGTCCTTTGTCTAGGAAATTTTATTAAGAATCAGTTGCTGTATCCACTGTGTAATATAATCTGGTATATTCTGCATGCCAATTTTTAATTATAAAATGTCTTATTTTCTCAGTTTATATTAGTATTGTATGGTATTTAGCTACTCTTCAAAATATAACTGCAAAACTGTAATATAAGACTGCCACCAGATGTAACCATAGGAACATCTTCCAGTAGCTAGAATAGGAAATTAAAATTCAAAGACACAAGCATCATCTTTTTTTATTATTAAAACTTAGATAAAGTTTTGACAGATGGGCTCCCCCAAAAAATCAAATTTGAAATTAAATTGTTTACATGTATTTGAAGTTAAGTATCACTTGTATAAGTGGTTCATTATCCAAAATAGTCAGTTCTTAGAAATGCTGTTTTGCATAATTTCACTCAATAAAATGGCTATGAGCAAATTGTTGATGAGGTAAATATCCAATTGAATAAAATGAAGCATAGAGAATTATGGAATAACTATAATTTAAAACAGTTACAGTAATTGCAAAATGAGTTAATGAATTGACATGAATTTAATATAGTATATATAATAACCATATATACTACTGTACTGTACTCTTCATTATAAAAGGAAAAAGAGAATATATACCATACAGTATATTGTATACCATAAATCCCACGACAAGCTTAAACATAAACATACAAAACCTCATGTAATATATCTTTTTTGTCCTAAACTTCATATGTATAAGACTCATTTACACTGCAGTGCAGCTTACATGATAAAGTCTTGACAGTGCCATAAGGCATTTAGTTAATTCATTTAAGTTTTTATAGCATTACAGTACTGTATATTATTTCAGAGTGTCAGTATAGGCATACTGTATTTATAAAGGATGTTTGTTCTTTGCTTAGATAGTGTCATAACCCCATTTGACTTGCCACACCACTAAACTGGTCCCCTATTGTCACATGCATAGACATCAGGTAGCTAGTGATGAACGACGGCATCTGATTGGCAGATTCGCCAACCAATGAGAGATGCTATCACAGTTCAAAACAAACATGGTGAAGGTGAGCCAGAAATTAGAATTTGTGCATATACAAATGTAACATTGAAACTGAAATGTCACCATATCTCATTTCCTATTCCTCAACAATTGAATTTAAGAATGAAACCACCACTACAGCTGTAGCTCTATTGTATTGTACACTAGCTGCTGAAACATTTGAGATTTCCTGTATCACATAGATGGAAAAGTAATTGAGGTGACGAGAGTTTACACACTGTGGATTACAGAGGGAAGGCTACCAAAGGGAAACGTAAAGTTCCCCCTGTACAATTTAAAGGGAAAAGTCCTGAGAGTGAATGCAAATATTATAGTAGAATAATCTTTAGAATATACCAGGGAAAGTGTATGACAGGATTTTTTTTGAGACTTGTATCGAAAGAAGAGTGTGGGGGGGGGGGGGACAGTGTGGGTTGAGAAAAGCAGGGGATGTATGGATCAATTAAGTGAATTGAAGAGCTTGCGTGAAAAGTTTCTGGAGAAGGGTTAAAAGTTGGTGTTATTCACTCACTCTTATTGATATAGCATATGTGCACTGCTATGGTGTTCCCTTTTATTGACAAAGCCCCAAGACTTCTAGGTGGTCCATCCCGGTCACATGACACACCCCAACATCACCCATCTGCACCACGTCTATCCCCTTAAACCACTTGACATCAATATCTTTAGATTTCTCACACACATTATTCATTTCTGAAGTTCCTTCATGTCTTAAATTTTGAATACTGTACTGCTGTACAGGTATCTCTATCATATTTAATGGCTGTCATGTTAAATTATGAAGTGAAAAGATCTAGGAACTAAGCAAATAAGAATGAAAAACAAAACAAGACAAAACAAACTACTAAAACATTAGAAGCAGTAAGTAGTATCTCTGATTAGATAACAGAATTCATAAATGGAACATAAAAGTCACAGAAACCCAACTTTATGGAAAGATAAGTTTGTGAAAGAACATGCCAAACATTTTATTATAATATATATAATAATTACAGCTGTTTGTTGAGCTTGTTGCTTTAGTGCTAATGTGCTTATCTGTTTGTCAGTGGTTATTATTCAGTATTGATATCAATGTTTAAATAGTATGCATGTGGCTTAATCTGGTATACTGTACTTATATTTTTATGTTTTTATTTTTATTCAACATATTGTATCATTACAATTGCAGTGGTTCATGTTTAGTTATCCAGAAGAATGTATAAAGATATTATTTTAAAGAAATACAGTGTTACTGTACCTTCATAGAATATGTTTGTTTCAGGATAAGGCGGTATCGGCCTTTGAGTGCGGACAGCAGTGACAACTACAGGAGGCAGCACCACCAACGCACTGTTTCTCCAGACTGACAGGAACCTCGGCCCTAGTCCTCATCGGCAGGAGGAGGCGTCCAGCTCCCAGGCCTACTCACTTGCAGCTCCTCGCCCACCTCCCAAACACATCTCCATTCACACATCCACAAACGCACAAATTCCCCACCAATCACGTGTAATGTCTGTACCCGTGAGCTCAGTCGAACACAGTCTTATGGCGAATCATATTTTCAGTACCAGCAACCTGAACAACAGTTAGTATTAGTTAAGGAAACTAAATTAAAACACAGAAAAACAAGAAAATTATGTGGATGTTGGCAAATGTTTTTAAGAAGACGTGGCAAAACTTTGCCATTCTCATTACACAGAAATCAAGAGCTGAGCAGATGTCGTCTAAATCTTTTCAAACCACCACGTGTTTAACAGCATAGAAAATATTGCCAAATGGTGCTTTTTCCCTCTCATTTAAGAAAATTTGAAGCTGTTATTTTGCTTGGGAGGATTCATTATAGTGAGAGGCCTAGAAGGTGTGGATATTCTTATGTCTAGGTAGGTGAGAGATAAGGGAAACAAGAGCAACTCCACTAGTGACCCCAGACTTGTAGTTATGGTACAAGAAAGCCCCTTTTCCCCTATATGCAAATTCTCTGCAGCTGCTACTGCGTGAAGCAGCTTGCCTAAAGGCTCTCAAAGACAGAGAATCTCTGCTGCAAATATTAGGCAGTGTGATAATGAACCTCAGTAGCTGCCAGTGTGACACATGGGGGTAATGTGTGGCTAAAGGTGATTGGAGAAGTGGACCCTGAGCTGCCAGTGTGGCACATGTGGTAATGTGATGGGGATGGTGGGAGCTGTTATCCTTAAACTGCCAGTGTGAGATTTGGGTCGTAAGAGGGTGATGGGAGCCAAGTGCCCTCAGTTGCCAGAGTAAGACTCAGGTCAGTGCAATGGGGGTGCAGCCGGTTGAAACATCACCTGCACATGGTTGTGATATTTGCTATGTACGTTCTGTGTACTGACACTCGCTAGGTTAGATAGTAACTGTGCCATCCTCTGTTGCCATTGATTGACTTTTTATAGGTCGTTCTGGCTACAAATCCCAGGTCATTAAAGTTATCTTTTTGCTGAGAAAGACATCAGTTTAAAAAATACTTTTAATGTACATTACAATTTAGATACCATACTTAAAAAGGCACCTATGGTCAAATGTGATGTAATATTCTTTAATGTTTTCTTCTGATCTAGGTACCTGTATTCACTTTAAGGGTTCTGGATAACTGTTGTAAATTTACTAATACAAGTTAGCCTTTGATATTGCTGTTAATGAACTATTTTGGGGAATAACTGCAATATTCTAGAGTGTCTCAGAGTATCTCTTGCATATTGCCCAAATACTCAGTAGCCCTTACACTTTGAAGCTTTGTCGTTTTCTCTAAGCTAACTACGAATGCTGTAAGTATTCCTGCAGTGCACATACAGTATGCTGATGATGCAGTTTGAATGTTTATTTGTTGAGTCAAGAGTTGGGTTCTGTTTTGTCCCCTGTGCCATTACCTGTGTTGCAGGTTTGTTACATCAACATTTCCCCTTCAGTAAAGAAAATATATTTGTGTAAATGCAGTGCTGAAAGTTGGCAAGCATAGTTAATGTGATGTTTCTTTGAGAATGCAGAAGAAAATGGTGTGCTTACCTTGGCTTTTTGGTCTTAGTATTGTGGGGAACAAATTCATAAGTTACCGTAATGTAATATCACAGAGGAAACTGCGAGTCTAAAGTACCATGTCTGAATGGATGAAGGAGTTGAATTTAAGTTATGGTCAGTATTTATTTTTGGTTTTGGTGATGTAAGAGATAAATACAAACTCTGATTAATTTGATCTTTATGTTTCTGTAGTACAAATAATAGGGAAAATTTTAGTTCTCATGGCCTTTTATGTACTAATACTCTATAAGATCAAGAAAGCAAGGATTACTCAGGCCTTAGGTGTATCAGCATTGTAAGTTGTGTAGACTATTGAAATTTGCCTCTGGGATGAACTTCCTTCAGGAAGTATGTGATGAGATCCTAAAATAATGTATTTAAATATCAATCAAATTTATATACTGTAATGTGATTACCTATTTTATTAAACATAAAATGTTTTGTAGTCATTTTATGGTACAAAGCTCACTGATGTGTTAAAATTTTCAGAAAACACTGAGAAATATAAAACGATACACATTTGGAAAACTACTTAGACTCCTGATATCCATATGATAAAACAAGTCTTGATTGTACTAAATGTTCCTCTCTCTTTTACAAGTATTGTAGAGTTAAACTGTATTAATGGTGAGAGTGGATGGAGGATTGACTGTTATTGTCATCAGACAGAGGTTAAGAGAGGGTGGGTGATGACAAAGTTCTCTGAAATTAACCATATCTTACTACTGTCAGGATCCTTCATGTTCCACATTCACCAAGCTTAGGAACTGTATCTGTGCTGTGACATTTTACTGAGAACCCCCAAGTTTTATACATGGATTAGAAGTTGTAATATTTTACTTGTCAGTTACTATATCTGGCATAGCACATTTAATTATGGCAAATTATAGAGCTATATAAAAATGTCACCCAAATAAAGGTGCTTACCAACAATACATTCAACTGTTTGAGTGAATCAGGTGAAAAGTTAATAGTCATGCATTAGTCATTAATAGGTATGCAAGTGTCTACGTGAAAATATATTTATCAGTCATATGATTATAGCTGATATGAGATTTGGTATTTATTTAAATGCCTTGATTTTTAAACTAGACTTGTAGATATTTAATTCTTCTTGAATCTCATTTATTAAGCTCCTTTCTATGGGAAGGTTTTTTAGCTAAACTTAAGAAAATCATCTCACTGCATTTGTGGCTATAAAGATAACCAAGAGACAACCCTGAAATCAAAAGCAGCTTGCATGCAAAAATAAGTATTTAATTTCTGTCAACTCTGTACACTCCTCCTTTGACTTACAGTTTCCCAGACAAACCAACCACTTTGCAGACTATCGGTAACTTCCCAGAGTTATTGTTATAGAAATCATATGCCACAGTGCATATTTTATATTGACGACTTGCCTCTTATGTATTGTTGAACCAGTGCTTTGTAGAGCTTTGTTTTGTCTCCTGGAGAAATAGATTAGGGTCTTCTACATCTCCTTATAATAAAACTTATGATTTAACACCCTGAAAGGTAAACACTGTACTTGAGCTTATTATTGCTTGGAGAAATTTTATGAACTTTGGTTGTTCCATAGAGGTGAATGGAGTTCATTTTGTTTCCATACATTATATAACTTGGAGAAGATTTTTTACCTTCCCTGTATCTCCTGGAAGCTTGATATGGCTTTGTTGCACATGTTGGAGGTCAATTACACAGGGAATGCGCCAAGGGAAGTGATAGATGAGAACATAATGGTATAGGGAATGGAGAGAGCAATTGTTCAACCATTATTTAACTTGAGGAGTGCTTGGTGACGTTCATAACCTCGCATTCGGGCATTAGTAATGTCACACATGGACTGTTCACAGCCTTTCTGGTGTTCATCAAGCTCTATGAGTTTGTATATGCGCATGTGTGATGTAAGGTCTGGCTATTGCAAAGTTAGGAACGTCACTTATGATACGTTCATGCAGCTCTTTTATATTTATTGTGTTAATGAGCCTTATGTTGGTGAACCTATCATGCAGTAGCAAAATAATCTGAAACATTACACAATCTTTAATACTATTTAAAAAAAAAAGATCATGTGTTACACTGAGCTTGTCTTGGTGAATAATTGGTTGTGACAGTGCAGTGTAGAGGTTCACCACGACCAGTCATGTTTGTCAGGTGTTTCTTTACCCACACATTTCCTATGACTTCTTAAAGTGTTTCAGTATCAGTAACGAAATTTACATTTATTTCACCCTTTTTTTATTCATGTGGTTACTGGCCGGATGTACTATAATGTCCAGATTGTATATTTTTGTTCTGTGTACTTAGATTGTTATTTACAATTAAATTATAGCAATGCCTTCTAATTGTCTATGTGTTTTATCCCCTTACAAATAGTTCATTGTAAACAAACTTCTTTTATGAATGGGCTACTTACTCGTATGGTATGAAAATGAGACACAAGAGCTATAGTAACTAAAACAAAACCTTAGTCAACTTAAAACGAAAAAAAATAATACTGGGCATAATTTTATTAAATTTATTTTACAGTTTAATTGGTGAAACATTTCTGGACAAAAAGTGACAAGATTCCTTAAAGTCCTTGTATAATAATGACCAAAAGAATATCACAGAGGGTATCACTAATACTATACAGTAAACTGGTTAATACAATTAATAAAACCAATTGTGGCCACAGCAAGCTGCCCAACACCTAGCTATGGTTCTGTGTCTTTTTAAGCTAAATTTTGGGGAAAAAAAATTATATTGAGACTATGGTGGTACAGGGGGTGTTGGTGGTGCAGGGGTATTGGGAGCACACTTATCTCTCACATCCAAGCAGCTAATGAGCCAATCAGCGGTGAAGAGGATAAAAGTGAAAAAGTATGGATTTGAGTCCTGGCCTTGAGACACACATGCGAACGGTGTTATCCGGTGTGACCCTATCAAATAGCACAGGTTTCCTCCAGGTATGTACTCTGGTTTCCTGTAACATTAACAAAAGAACAGACCACAGCTAATCAGCTGATAAGTAGGTAAATGATAAATTAAATTTAATAAAATATACCACAGAAAAAAGTTACTCTAAGCATTCATTCCAAACATGTATAGTATAATCAATAACCTTGAACACTATTACAAATTGTTGTTTTCTGTACTTTTGTGCAGTTCAGTCATACATAACCATGAGTTGATCAAAGCAATTACAGTACCGTACTGTATATGAATATAAATAAGGTGCATATCACTGGTTAAAGAAATTAGGTAGTAGGTAGTAGGCAGCTACCAAACAGGGAGGTACTACCGCCTGGGAAGATATTGGAAACATAATGTGTTGTCTAATGGTAGACCCTGCTGCCATATGGCATCACAAAAAATTGTGACCAAGTCCCAGGTTGCTGATCTAACTTTCTGCCTCATTTACACACACTTGCAGGGTCTCAGTTGTTTCTCTTACTATTGACAACACAAATATATATTGTTTCTCGCTTTTGATCTTTTTTTTCATTTTTGTATTTATGGTTCTTTATTATTATTATTATTATTACAGTTATTATTATTTTATTTTTGTTTTATTATAAAATTTATTTACTATGAATTATTATTATTATTAATTATTATTATTATTATTACATTTCCTCCCCCCTCAGGCCCCGATGTGGGTCAGTGACCTGTGCCTAGGTGGGCTAATCCCCGTTAAAAACAACAAATAAAAAACTTATCCCTCAGTTAGAGACAAAGGTGGAATTAAGATACATTAGAAGATGGATTTATAAATTGATGATACGAGGATCTAAAACGTCTCTCATAAGGGAAATAATTAGCAAATGTACGGAGAGTTGTACTGTACTTTCTTAGTTGAGTTGTCCAAAAAGTTGGCTTCCTCCTGGCAATGGGTATTGATTTTAGAATGATGTGCTCAAACCTGTGTGAGACAGGTCTGTACAGGGTACAGTATCTAGTAATCACCGTGATTGAGTTGGTGGTTGGCAGATTGATATATAATGCAAACACGTGAATGGACCCTCTTCCGTTGAAGAGGGTCGTCGTGTTTCAACCCAAGTTTTAAACAAAATTAGTCCTGGAGGATACCGCAGTACAGTACTTGACTGGGTGGTGTGGCGGTAAAAATAACTAATTCCAAGGTATAAACACTCGCGTGAGTACTGTAATGTCTTCTGAGGTGTTTCTAAACTTCTAATAAGTTGCCCTCCTATAGTGTAAGTTAGACAATTAAAGGCGTTCTAATGTCTCCGGGTACCCTAGGTGATGTAGTGCAGGCACAAGTTTGGTTACCCTCTTCTTTGGGCATTTTTAATCAACTGACAGTCTCTAGCATATCATCATACAGGGAAGCAAACTGACTCTTGAAGAGCATTACGAGGGACAGACCATCTAAGTAACGCCTTTCTGGAACAGGGTGTTAGCTGTCTTTTTACAATTTCTATTTATTTATAATTTCTACTGCTTATCAGCTTACTAGTTGCCCAAACTATTTTTTTATTACAATCTTCATTATCTATTTACATGTTGACTATAGTTACAACTAGATAATTGTTCAATAATTTGTAAAATTTAGTTTATTGTAAAGGTATAAAGCAGTGGTTTGGCATATAGGGCCAATTGCAAGATCAGCCGTGGTGTACACCATGCCGTGGTACTCCCATGGTTGTTGTGCAAGAAGCGTTTTTCGCTAAAAAAAAACATGTACGATTCGTTATTGAAACGTGGGGAAATTTCGTGGTACACGTCCGATGATCACTGCGATGAAACTATTTTTGAAACCAAAAGAAAGGAACTTGATTTGGATGCACATAAAATGTATAAGTCTGCAAAGGAATAATATTTGTTATATGATATACTCCACATAGAACAGCACATGCAGAATTGTATTGTTCTTTTTAAAAGCGGTCCGCGTTTGTGTACGGAAAATGCCGCCAGCCTCTACTTGTCTCATCGCCGTTTATATCCTCCAAATTCGCCTAACCATCATAAAAGGTAAGCCTTTAACATAACTAATACAACTAATTTATGTGTAGAAATATATTGAAATCAAATTAAACTAAAAAAAATTCGTAAATGGTCTATTTGAAGAGTGGTGAGAACAGTTTCCTCAGGAATGGTGAATGACGTCCCTTATCAGAATTAATATCGACCCAATTTTCGTAATGAGGGCAATTAATAACAGTCCAGTACTACCAAAATAATTATTTCCTTAGTATAAATACTTTGTAGCATTTCATATTTTAATAAGTCCAAATATGCCGGGTAACCAATGCCAGGTGAATCCAAACTGGTCCATCCGTGATGGTCAATGGACGTCCTTTATCAGAAATAATATCGACCCAATTTTCGTAATGAGCGCAATTAATAACCGTCCAGCACTACCAAAATAATTATTTCCTTAGTATAATTACTTATTAGCCTAGATTTCATATTTTAATAAGTCCAAATATGCCAGGTAACTAGTGCCAGGTACTTCCCAGGCATGTTTCATTTGTGTATCAGTTTAACCACAATTTGCTACTAATAAGATAAATTCAGTGACCTAAATTCATGTTTTATTTTTGTATTCCCTTAGTGACTCAATGTATTTCAAGAAAGAACTACTTTACGACTTGTTTGGGCCAACAGTTGGAGTGGTGATATTAATTAACTTTGCCATTCACAGTGGTAGAATAAAATGTAGATATATTGGCTTTGTATGTCCATGATTTCAACAAAAATGAATAAGTCCTTCTAAAGTAAATGGAATTGATGATATTATTATCTTTTTGGCCATCCAGCGAATTTAATGATTTTAAGTTGACCGATTTTTACCAGTTAAGTTAGGTTACGTTAGATTAGTTAAGTTGGGTTAGGTTAGGTTTGGTGACATTGAAATTATGTTTTTTCAAATGCCAAGTATGTGGATGACCTAAACATTCATTTTACCAAATTGATTATGAGTAGATAAAAAACATTAGTTGTGTTTTTTTATAAATTCAGACTCCGTAAAGTTCAAATGACAATCACTTCATGATAGGTGTTTCACCCTATACACTAAAGCTACTTCATGTAAGAGGAAAAAATTAGCACCAAAGTGTATTGTTTAATACCAAAAGAAGTCATTGATAACAATATTTCAGGTATTACGACCTGGTCGTCGGGACGGAACACCGTCGTAAGTCGAGGAGAGACTCCCTTTACCTTTAATTGGTTTTTTATTACAATTCTTGGATATTCAAAGATAATGAAATTATGAATCTTCAATAAATGTGATATACTGTACATTCTAATGATGACAACAGAAATATGTCAGACTTGACTAATTAACTGTAACCAGAAATTAACATAAGTGAATTTGTCCTTAATCCAACCTTTAAAATATGAAAGACAGTATACTTTATTTTATGATGTTTAAGTCAGTTTCTAGTTAGGTTAAGTTAAGTCGGTTAGGTTAACATTTTGATGTAGATAATTAAAATTTTAAAGGGCTTATAATTTTTGCTCTACAAATTTCTCCCAAAAAAGGGATAAATTTTTTGAGTGTGTGTTGCATATCAAACCAAAAAAATCTGAGCTACCTAAGCTAACCTTGGAATTGGTTCCCAAACTCGAACAGAAAAATGTGGAGACTTTCCGTAAAATCCCCAAATTAGATGTTGGAAACTTATAAATATTAACCCTCATCAATAAAGATGTTTCAGAATTCGCAAATTTAACTAACACAATATTAATGACTTTATTTTCACTTACAGGTGGAAATACAGCTGACTATTCACCTTTCACCAATACTGAAGAGATAAATCTTGGTATCATTTGATTGATGGGGAATTTTTCCGGTTCCAGGGAAGATTTTGGAATTTGCTTTCTAACCTAACCTCGGAAATGGTTCCCAGACTCGGAACAGAAAAATTTGGAGACTTTCCGTAAAATACCCAAATTACTCATAGACCAGAAAAAATGCAGTTTCTGGAATTTTCTGAACATATACCTTGGAGAAATCATAACATACTGTATGCCTTAATTATTATTATTATTTTTTTTATTTTACACTCTCCATACATACATGGATATTACGTATTAATTTATTTGTGAAATTTGTGGATGATTTTTTTTAAATACTTTATTCTTGATCATCCATACATTATAACATATTCTGCTTTTAATAAAGGCTATATTCTGAAATAAGCATTATCATTGTATTCTCATCCTTATTATTATTACAGTACAGTATACTGTATATTAAACATAAAAAAATGCAGGAATGATTTGCAATTAACATTGCAGACTGTATTGAGGATATTTTTAAACCATTTAATTATCATCTTGTTCTATGTTTAACATTATTAGTTTCTGATTAGTCGGTAGAATTTCATGACTAT